GATTCTAAGACATAACACTAACCTAGCTGAGCTTTGATCAGTCTGTCAACTTTCTCCACTTTCCCTCTTCCTTTCAACAAGTCTACATGCCCTTTAAAATTGAATATCAGAAAATATTAAAATCAGGTTTTTTGTTTTTTAAAATGGATACATTGTCAGGCACAGTGGCTCACTTTTGTAACCCAGCACTTTGGAAGGCTGAGGCAGGAGGATACCTTGAAGCCAAGCTTTCAAGTCCAGCATGAGTGGCCAGGCACAGTGGCTCACACCTGTAATCCCAGCACTTTGGGAGGCTGAGGTGGGCACCTCACTTGAAGTCGGGAGTTCAAGACCAGCCTGACCAACATGGAGAAACCCTGTCTCTACTAAAAATATAAAATTAGCTGGGCGTGGTACTGCATGCCTGTAATCCCAGCTACTTGGGAGGATGAGGCAGGAAAATCACTTGAACCCGGGAGGCAGAGGTTGTGGTGAGCCGAGAGCGTGCCATTGCACTCCAGCCTCAGCATCAAGAGCGAAACCCCGTTTCAAAAAAAAAAAAAAAAAAAATCAGCACAAGCAACAAAGCGAGACTCCTGTGTACACACACACAAACAATATAGTTTACAAAGTTAAATTTAAAATACGTGTATGAATAATTTATTGATATATTTGTCTTCCAGTCTTCATATACTTTTATTTTCTTTCCTTGAATAAGGAGAGCAATCAGTTTATTCAGCTCTGTTTGGCAATTTACAAATTCAGTTTTTATTTACTTAAGGCTTTCTTTTAAAAGAATTGATCTATATGGTGGACGCTATATAGAGAACACGAGTGTATTCATTCCATTTAACAAACGTCAATTCCTTCAACTGGTGTAATTAAAGAAAGAGCTTTACATACCAAAGAAAAAAAATTAATTTACAATGCAATTGAAAATTTACCATGGTAAACATAACTCTACAATTAAGTTTTTGACTATTCCAAAGGTAGGTACATATAAAAAGAAATTAATATTTCAGTGCCAGAAAACTAGTAACATATTGTTTTGTACCATAAATTTTTAGCGACCAAGATATTTCACCCCCTTTCCAAAAAATCAAGTTTTATAAAGGAAACATCAAGTTAACCTTGACTATGGCTATAATACTGGACTCAGTAAGCAAAACCAAAATTTTCAAGTCATGAAATATTTACCTAAATCTTCATACCAAAGTTTCAAATTCTTAACCCAAATAAGACCAGCAAATTGTGCCCCAATTTCAACAACAAAACAGAACAAAAAAATAAAATCCACCAAGTAAATATGGAACGCATTAGGCAAAAGATATACTTGGGCATAAATTTAACCATAAGTAATTTCCAATGTTATTTTAATTTCTTAAAATCATTTGTAACAAACAACTCACAATTATTAAATATTATTGAACACATGTCATGAACACAGTATTTCTGTCCAATTAATGAATGTTCTTGAGCCATTTAATTTTTTTTTTCACTTTAATTTCTCCATCTACAAAATGTGGGAAATTATACCTTATCCTTTTATACTATAGGAGTATCCTAATAATAAACATTTGTGGAACACACTGAGATGTATATGTCAAGAAAAGGAACTGCATGAAAATGAAGTACATAAACATCATAGATGATTAACATCCAATTTTTCAGGGCGGGGAGAGGCAGGAGAGGACAGAGTCTTGCTCTGTCAGCCAGGCTGGAGTGCAGTGGCACGATGTCGGCTCACTGCAACCTCCGTCTCCTGGGCTCAAGCAATTCTCCTGCCTCAGCCTCCCGAGAGCTGGGATTATAGGCATGCGCCAGCACACCTGGTTAATTTTTGTATTTTTAGCAGAGATGGGGTTTTACCATGTTGGCCAGGCTGATCTTGAACTCCTGACTTCAGCAAATCTACCTGCCTCAGCCTCCCAAAGTGCTGGAATTACAGGCATGAGCCACTGCACCTGGCCTCCAATTTTTAGACTGCTTTTACACATTATCAGTAGGCACTTCACTTTTTTTTAATTTTTAATTTTTGTGGGTACACAGTAGGTGTACATTTTGTAGAGTAACTGAGATACTTTGATACAGGCAAGCACTTATATTTGTAAAAATTAAATGCCAGCCAGGAACAGTGGCTTACGTCTGTAATCTTAACACTTTGGGAGACCAAGGCAGGTGGACCACAAGGTCAGGAGTTCGAGACCAGCCTGGCTAATATAATAAAACCCCGTCTCTACTAAAAAAACAAAAAATAGCCACACATAGTGGCTGGTGCCTGTTGTCCCAGCTACTCAGGAGGTTGAGGCAGAGAATCACTTGAACCTGGAAGGTAGAGGCTGCAGTGAGCCAAGATTGCGCCACTGCACTCCAGCCTGAGTGACAGAGCAAGACTCCATCTCAAAAAAAAGAAAAAATTAAATGCCAATGTTAAAACAATCAACTGCATTTCCAATTTTAGACTTTGATAAATTTTTGTAGACAAGCTATTACTGAATAAATGTATGTTTGAGACAATCAAGCTAACTTCTGGCATACCATTAATACTCAAGTCTATATTTAATGACTGTCAATATTTCTATCAAAAATAACAAAACACTATTAGAATACACATAACCAGCATACCAGCTTGCTCTTCCTAATTTAAATATCTGTAATATTATGAAGATATATCATAAAACACTAGGCTAACAGCCATCCATTCAATTAATAGCAAATTTACAGGGGAATGTGAGCAAATATTAAACCTGTAGAGTAAAAGAGAACTAACACACTTAATAACAGTCTTACAATAGGTCAAATGAAAAAGCGGCTCATATTAAAAAATTATTCCACCTGTAATTTAAAAAACACACTGCATTATCTGCTTATCAGTAACGATGATACTCAATCTGATGTACCAAAGAGGTAACTTAACAAGTTATTTGACTATTTCTTACCATGAAGAGGCAATCTTAGGAGTAAGTAACAGAATTACTGTTACTTGGCATCTTGTCTGCCAATTAAGATTTTTCAAGGAAGGTGTAAAAGGCAGCATCATATATAACCTCTCACTGTGCAATATTAGACTACTAGGGAAAAATTATTTCAAGGTTGGTAGTACCCAATTTTTGACCAGCACATTTCTTTTGTATTTCTTTACAGGCCATGCAAATCTTCACATGGTTTTATTTTCCAAAACAAATGCTTCAACTTTTTTCCTAGTAGCCTAGCTACAACCCTGCAAAAACAAACCTGGAGAGTGACATATGGAGGAAAAACAAGTTTAACTAAGGACATAGTTCAAAAAGCAGCTTCTAATAAGAGCATAAAGCACAATTTGATCTGAAGACAATGTAAACACAATGTTGAAACTATACAGTTAAAAACAGTACCTATAATTAACATATAATATGCTCCTAAGATAAAAACTACAACTGGAAAAACAATATTTATAATCAGCTTTTGTTAAAAAAAATTGGAAGCCTAGATATTACTTTGATTATGCTAAAACTATTAGTATGAATGTAAATTCTTCAGAAAAATATACATTTCACGAACAATGTATATTCTATAGTACTTTCTGGTTATAAAATTTAAATCAACCAATCTAACAAATATGAAGCAAAACTTCAAAAATACGTATTTTAAAAGTCCAAAACTCAAATGTTTTAAACTGATAAAACCATAAAACTTGAATATGTATTAATATGTTCCTCTCAATATCATAAATGGAAATGAGCAAATGAATGTCACCATGAATATAAAACTCTCCGTTTCTCATCCCACTACTAACTCAACAGTTCTGGAGGTTGATTTTGTTTTCTGATTCAGCGCTTTATTTTAAAATGTGCTCTGACACAAATGCCATCACACGCAATAGATGACAACGAACCATATTTAATATTTTCTAGACTTCCTGTGTAACTCAATAACTACACAATAACTACTCCACAAAGTTCTGTGAACTCCAGCTTCAAGCCTGAAGTCAATCTAAGATAGCCAATAGAAAGTACACCTGTGCAATTATTGCATTTCCTGTTTCAGAATGTTGAATGTAACACATGATAACTGAATGCATCTGAAACAGTAATAAATGCAAAACTCAAATTATGCAGAAGCCACATTACAAAAGGCCTCTATTATCACTATAAAAAGCAATAAATACAAAAAATATCATTTTAGTTTTAAATAATACCAACTAACTTAGAATCCTCTAAAGTAAACATTAAAAATAATGCACAGCCTCATGATAAATTATATGAAAGGATTCCTAGAAGAAAAACTAGAAGCAAAAAAATAACGCTAAATCACAAAATATATCATCTAGACTGTATCGCATACCAACAGAATAAGAACTTTGTCAAATAAGCAGTCAAAAAAAAGAAAGAGGGAGAATGAAAGAAAATCCAAAGTATAGTATCCCACTTCATAGCATCCCCATTTTCCTAGAGATATAATAATCATTTTGAACGTTTTTAAGTCACTGGAAATTCAACAAAAAGTAATTCTCAAAACAATCCTGGTCACCTAAGGCACCAACATGTTATGCCATGCATTCATATTCTACTGAAAAACCTATTCAATGTCACTGTTCCAAACAAGAAGTTTCATTTAAAAAATAAAATCTGAAAGTCAGAATTTTTTAAACCAAAGAAGTTTCCAAAACAAAGAAAAAAAAATTTTCCCAAAGATTACAGTTTCATTAACTATCTTAACTCTTTTACTAAGCATCACCTTTCTTCCATTCAGTGGATATCAAGCGATCAATAACAATGTCACAAAAGAATGTTTACCAAGATGGGGGGTGGGGTGTCACCTGTAATGATTTTGTATGAAAAACGTAAACGATCCTAAAATTGGTAAGAAAAACTTGCACCTTCCTACAATCTCACTTTATTTATATTAAATGTGTCTTAGTCTAAAATGAACAAGAGCTTAGAACTGTTTGGTGTGCAAGGTTTGCTTTTGTTTTTGCCAAAAACAAATCTCTCCATAAGTCCCTTATTTCCAAATACTATGGAAAAGTCACTACTACTCACCGCAAGTAATACTGTTTTAAAGCAAAGGCAGCGTTAGAACAACTTCTGGGAAAGTTGAACTCTTCAACAATTTCTCCCCACTGATTCTTCTCAGAGACCTGGTAAAACACAGGCACACTTGTCTGAAAGTGAACAATCTAAAAAAACCTTTACCTAACTGAAATAAATACCCATTCTACAGAGATCTGTAGATACCTAAGGCATCAATGGTTGTTTCTGATCGATCGGTAAGGTAAGAGTTACTAAGCAAGCAAGGGCGTCTTGAATCACTGTTTTCACCAGACAGCCCTGTATTTAATACCACTTGTTTTGTTTGGGGGGGATTGGTGGGTTTGTTTTGTTTTTGAAGCCGGGACAATAACCAATCGCAAGTCCCTCTGTCGCCCCCTTTTAAATCTCAACGCGGTCCGTTTACACTTAAAAAAAAAAAAAAAAAAAGTTCAAAAGGATCAATACAGTTCCGGACAGCGACGTCCGCGGGTTCTGGGGGGGCCGGGGCCGGGGCCGATTCCGATCCCTCTCCCAGATCTATCCATCTCCATAGGCCCTTCTTTGAGGCCTACAGCTTCTGCCTAGCCTTGAAGCCTAAGATGGCTATTTGGAGACAGGTCCTGGTTTCTTTTGTTAGCTGTATAAACCGAGGGCGACGGGGCCGAGGCTGTGCCCCCGGCTGCCAGGATCATTTCGCAGCCGATTATCGATGTTAAACCTGCCCGCGCTAATTTTGAGTTGCACGAAAACTGCTCTGAGTCTGTGTGTCTCTGTGTCTCAGCCTGTGCTAGAGCGGCAGCGGCGGCAGAGCTGACGAGCGAGCGAGCGAACAAGCGAGCGGGCGGTGCGGGCGCGGGGCTCCGGCTGGCGCCCCGCACGCCCGCACTCTCCGCCGCGGCGCTCAGACCCCGCCGGCCCAACTGGGCACCGGGCAGGGCGCTAGCCGGCGCCGGGCCGCCAGCCCGCGGGAGCCCCGCGCCCGCCGCGCGCACGCGAGCCACCAGGCCAAAAACAGCCCCGCCGCCGTCCGCCTCCGTGCCACCGGCTGGGAGCGAAAAGAACGCCTTTTGCCCCCGCGGGCCACCCCCCCAGCCCCAAGCGCCCACTCTGGGGTCAAAGGAGACTTTTTGGAGGAGGCCAGTGAGAGGGAAATACAAATTAAAACTTCCACTCACCTTCGCGAATCCGCCTAAAGTAGTGACTCTGGTGTAGAGACCGTGAAGATCCAGCTCCTTCCCACCCACCGCAGGGATTTTTTTAAAAGGCGACCTGCGGGAGAGAGAAAGACCCGCACTTGTCAGCCGGGACCCCGCGCCCGGCCCGGGCGGGAGAGCCCCGTTCGCCCCGGCTCGCCCCGGCGTTGCCCCCCCGGTTCTGCTCTCACCCTCTGCTGTGGTGGAACTGCCGCAGCTCGTCCAGGAAAGCGAGTCCCTTTCTCCGCTCGTCCGGAGGCGCCTTCCCCGTCGAGTTTGCCATTATTTTTTCAAAGGAGGTTTTTTAAAAACCCAGATCGGTGTTTTAAAAGCGCCCCCCGCTCCCAGCGCTTCCTACCAGAGCCCGGAGCCCATTCCTCGGCCGGCGGCGGCGGGGCTCAGTCATGGGCCGGCGGTGGCGGCGGCGGCGGCGGCGGCGGCGGCGGCGGCGGCGGCGCAGGGAGGGAGGGAGGGAGGGGGAGGAGGAGGAGGAGGAGGGGAAGGAGGGAGCAGGAGGCCAGGGGGAGAGGAGGGAACGAGGGAGGGGAATTTCTAAAAAAGTTTAAAGAAATCGGAGCGAAACTAGAGGGGCAGGCGACTGCCGGATCCGCGCGAAGCCGCGGGGCGAGCGCGGCCCCCACCCCTTCCTTCCCTCCCTCCCTCCCCGCGGCCCGGCTCTCGCCCGCCTCTCAGCGCCGCCGGCTGAGGTGGCTTGGCCCGGGTACGCGATTCAACATGGTGCTGCTGCCGGGGGCGCGCGAGCGGGCGAGGGGCAAGGCGAGCCAACGGTGAGGGGTCGGGGCGGCCGGAGGCCCTAGAGTTTCGGCGGCGGCGGCGACAGCGGCCGGCCTGGGGCAGGCGGGGCTGGGGGTGGGGAGGGGGAGGTCTGTGTGGTTTGTAGAAAGCGGGGTGACAGCGTGTATTTCGGCCCAGGCTCCGCGGAGCCCTCGCACACATTCACGCGCGGCCTCGGCCGCTGAGGCCGGGGCGTCCCCGGGCAGAAGCACCGGCGGCAGCTGAGCCGCTGCGCGCCGCCCGCCGCCCGCCTGCTTCCCTCCTCGTCAGCCTCGGTCTCTGCCGCCGCCAGCGCCGCCGCCACGGCCGGGCAGCTAGTGCCGCACAGCGACCCCCAAAGGCCGGCCGCGGCACTGCGCCTGGCTCCACACCGCCCCGGCAGCTCCTCGCGGGGAACAATAGACTCGGCTCGCCGAGCTTAGGGTTCGTCTGCAATGTGCCGCACATTTCACACGCACACAAAGCCGGCGGAAAGGGGGGCGGCGCGGGGGAACGGCCACTACCGGTTGTTCCAGGGTTAGGGGTGGAGGCGATGTTCGCGTCCCTGGCCCGGCTGTCGGAAGGGCCGCCTCGGAGTCCCCGCCCGCCCAACAAAAGTGGTGTGGCGCTCTGGAGGGAAAGGAGGCTTACCGGGGCAGCTCACGCTACGCAACATTCACAAATCGGAATAAAGTCAATTTGTTACCTTCTCTTTTTGTAAAGTCTAAAGAAATTGGTTTTTATGAGCCTTATGCTAGTATTTTGGGGCCTGGTTAGCACATTTTCTATGAATTATCCACACGCTATCTTTAGCAAACTATACGTTAAATATAATGTGAACTGTCTGTCCTAGTTCTGTGGAAAAAGAGTAATGCTTATAATTCATCTTGCCTCTGGTTGGCTTCACATATCAAACTGGATTATTCTATTACCAAAGTTATGCAAACTAAACTGGTTAGCAAGCAATCTCCAACTTCGACAATAATTAACGTTTACATTTTTATAGTAAGGTCTCCTAAAGATTACTGCGTTTAAAATAAATATCGAATAAAATGTTTTTCCTTGCTTTCAAATGTCTTAAATGTAATCCTCGTTTAAAATATTTGTGAAGGTTAAAAAAAACCTTTGGCTTAAATGGGAAAGTCAAAACATCTCAACAAATACTATCACCTAAATTTGCATTTACGGGGGGTGTTGGAGTCGGCTCTTACGCTGCAAATGTTAATTAAGATTAGAGTAAGTGAAGCCAATTATTATTTCCATCTTAGTGACGGCCACTAAGAACAAAGTCACTGCCTAACCCAAGGTCATAGGGTAGGAAGGGTCTGGATAGATTATTATTTCAGGTAGTCATTACAATGGGAACATTGCTTTGGAGGTGCAATATTATGTAATATAGTGCAGCGTGCTTCCGGTGCTCACTCTAGGAAATGGACTTATTTCCCAACTAAAGTTTGTCTTTAAGTGGGGTCGAAATAAGGTTATGGCTAGGAAGTTCCTGACACCCAGGGCCAGTGAGTGTCTCGGAAGCCTGTGAGGGGCGGAGACCTGGCTGAGGGAGGTGGAGATGCTCGGCGGCCGCGGGAGACTAAGGGTGAGGCTGCAGCGAGGCAGACCCGGTCAGCTGTCCCTTCCCCCACTAGTCCTCTTAGGGGGAGTGGAGATGTGGGCCTCGGAGCTGCGTGGCCCTGGTTGTTCGGATTCCCTAAACGCCGCACTTGCGCACAGCCCCTTACGTAACCAGCCTTGCTGGGGATTCCCTAGAGGGGGTCATTCTATTCAACCATTATACACACCCGGGGCTTCTGCCGCCGCGCCGCCGCCGCCTCACAAAATGGCGGCGCCCATAGAGGAGACAGCGGCCGCCTTTTCGGCCCCATTTTGTGGGAGGCGAGAGATCTATCAACATGGAATACCTCTGCTGAGGATGCATCCGAGTTTGGAAACCTACTTAAGGGACGGAGCCTGGGGAATCACGTTAGACGGAAAATAACGACTTCTACCACCTCTACGCGTTTTTACTTTTTCATTTTTCTCGAAGGAAGCGCCAGAAGCCTGTGGGGTAATTGTAACTAGAGGGAGGAGAGGCTAAGGTGACTGCTCCAGGGACTTGGCGCGGCGCTTTTGTAGCTTTGGTTGCTCTTCCACGCTCCTGGCAGCTGACCGGTATCTCTCGGAGGGTTTCCTGGGCCACTTCGGCCGCGCCAGTCGTGCAATGAGACTTTTCGATAGTTTTAAAATACCACAGTCCACGGCCCGGTCGGCACCGCTTTCCTGAATGGTGGGCTTCGGGAACCCTGGAAGGCTGCTGCTCAGGAACTCGCGGTCGGCCGGGAGCCGGGGAGCTCGGTTACCGGGAGCGGGCGGTACTCGCGGATTCCGGCGGCCCTGGCGGGTCACTGCCCAAATCCGAGCCGGGGATGATGGTGCTGATGGAGCTGATGGGGCAGGAGTGGGAACTGAGGCACTGAAATTTAAGTCGTCCGAGTTGGGACTTAAGATTGCAGGTTAATATTGTCGCAGGCTAGACTTGGTCTTTTCTAGTATCCCAGTCTGCAGTGGGCAAATCTATTGTCTTTATTTCTCATTTAAGGGCAGAATGGAAGGGTGACATATTTTTACTTTTCAAGAGGCGGTTGCCACTTTTAAGTTGCTGTTATTAATGTGTGTGTGTACATACACAAACATATACAATAGTGTGTTTTGCTTTTCAGAGCAAGTATCAAAGGCTAAAGACTTGGAGTGATACTAACGTTTAAAAGTATTTTAAAAAAATAAGATGTGATGAGAAACTGGAGAATTGACTTTTGAAAATTCGTTTTCTGTAGAAGAGGCTGTCTTCAAAATGGAGTCATAAAGTATATCTGATGGATATAATTTAAATTTTTAACACTGTATACACTGTGGTCAAAGCATAAACATAAAACTTGTTGTTTATCAGATTACTTATGTTTCAATTTTCCTGTGATTAGAAAAATGTAAGACAAAAGTAAGCTATTAACGGTATTTGCTTGTAAGAGTAACGTAAAGGTTTATGAAAAGGTTTATTTGTTGAAACAGATATGCATCATACGAATAATTTATTTTAAATGATGTTGTCCAATTGCAGCAATCATTTGTGCTTACATGACTTTTTAAAAAGGGGTTTAGTTTGTTGATTTTGACCCTCATATTTAATCTCTAGTGCAGAAGTGCAGCTTTCTGCAGGCTGCGCCTAAATCACTAAGTTCCACGCTCCATCCTCTGCCGCATCCGGTTGCTACTCCAAGCGTGTGGATCACCAAGATACAATTTCTGGTCCTGTCCTGACTGATGTCCTTTAGAGTTAATAAATTTGATTGTCACTAATCAGTCTGTATCTCTTGCAAGAACACCACATTTAGCATCCAAGTAGAGTTTGAGTATATTTTTTATGAGATTGTACTAAAGTTACCTTCGTTCATAGTATTACATTTCTTATTACTATATTGCATTTCCTATAGTGGGCAGCATAGAGCAGGTGGATCCTAGCAAAGTAATTTAAGAGATGTGTTGACAACTTTACAATAGATATTCTCCAACTAATTTGACAAGATATAAAATAAAATGTAGTTGGTAGTTTCCAAGCATTATGGAAGCGTTCCTGTTAAAAAATTACCAATCAGTGGAAATTGTTGCAATTCAGTTTGTATAGTTTACTGTTTTGATGACAAAGCCCTTATGATGGGAAAAATGTAAAGCGTTGCTTTTGTAACTGCAAAGGCTGCACACCGTAATTAGAGGTTTCTGTTATTTTATTTGAACTTTTCATTCTTACCATCAGTTTTAATATTAGGAAATTGTGATAAATTTAAAATTCATTCAACTAAACCTTTAAAAACTGTATCCAATTTCAAATCAAGCATGTCAGGTGTATGATTACAACAGCTGAACTAACTTAATTGAGGACTTGGTATGCCAACTCAGTAGAGACAATGTTGAGATTTTAGGTTACTCTAAGATTTAAAAAAAAAGTTTGATTAGTTAAACAAGGCTTTTGAAGTTAAATTGGTATTTCTTTAAAGATGATGTTAGAAGAAAAATACTTTGGCGAGATTCGAAAATTCGTTCATGGCTTCTCTTGCCTATACCTACTGCTATACTTTTTTATGTGGGCTGATTTGTCTTATTTGAAAATTTGATTACAATATTAAATTCTAGATGAAGCTGTTCCATTTTTACGGTGATTCTAAGGAGTACTGATAACTAAGCTCTTAAAAGGCGAGGAAATAGTTTATTCTGCTGCAGATTAAGGTAATCTTAATGCAGATACTCTGGTGGTAATTCTAAGCAGTATTGATAAGCTTTTAAAAGGTAAGGAAATAGTTTATTCTACTGCAGAGTAGGGTAATTTTGATGCCCTGAATATATTCTGAATTTTTATACATAGATTTCTGAATGATTTGGCCCAAAAGGGTCTGACGAGCTTTGGGGGATTTTTAAATTTTTTTCTCTTTAAGAGAAATCAGAATGTGGGATTTAAAAAAATCATTTTCAGTAGATATTGGAGATTATGCTTTGTATATTAAATCCAGTTTGACTTTTAAGTGATAATTTTCAATTAGACTTTTTAATAAGACAACTAAAGAATAAAATTTTAGGCAATTACAATATTTTTTGGAGACGCATTCCCAGATGTGCTTCTGACAGGGAGTT